AGGATAAGTGCCCCCAGATTTCTGTCCTTGCCTCTAGTTTTGCATTTGCTGTGAGAGTTTCCGCTCCATTGACGGGTGCTTGATTTCACCTATTTCCAGATTACTGCCTCCAGCTTGGTAAAAGCACATCCCAGTGCCACCAACCACCCCTGTTCTCCCCAAATTTGTTCAAAATTAGTAGCTTTGAGACTAAGCCTACAGATGATCATGGATAGGATACTTTCTGTCTGTTAGATAAACTTGGCAGTGTTTTCCTTGCAGGACTGGACCAGACCAGATCAAGAGAGTAAGTTATAGTTATTTTAACAGATGCAAGATTAGGTATTTGATAATCAACCTGTAAATGTCTAGATCAAACAAATTAGTTTAGTTATCAGAACACATTGCTGAAAGGAGTTCCATGGGAAAGAGAGCAAGCTCCCCCACACTGAGTATTGCTAAAGCTAATGCACCATCACCAAAAGAACCCTTACATCTGCTCAGGGTTTTGGCTTTTCCTGATATTGTGCAGGCTTTTTCACCCTGCGTCTTGTAAACAATGGATTTCATTGTGTGGTCTTTCCTTTGGATGTTATAAATTTGAGAAGCCAGCTAATTAGCCACTTCATGACTAAATCATTTTATTATTGATTTTTATTTTTGTTTTTCCATCTCTCCTATCTTTAATTAGAGAAAGTATGCCTCTGGAGGCTGTAGATTGGAGCTGCTTTGAAGCACCTGCATCAACCTTTAGTCAGCATGGAACATCCCAGTCTTTCTGACTGGTTCTCATCAGCACCTTTTTCCTGGCACTATTGCCATCTGGAATGTCATTTTAGGATTCATATAGACTATGGATCTGATGACTTGGTCCTTTTCCCCTCTGTCTTCATGATTCAGCTTTGAAAACTGGCATGCAAATACCAGAAGTAGGGAAGCTGCATCTTGTAGTTGTTTAGATTTCTTCCTCTTTCTATATAATAATTTTCATTGTCATTTTAAAGTACAAATTATATACAGTTACATTTTAATTAGTTTTGGAACAGAGAATGTCTCATTGAAAAAAATTGTATGAGGGAAGGGAGAAATTTGCCATTATGAGATGTCTGTCAGAGGCTTTTATGTAAATTGAATGATATAACTGTGTTCATTGGGGCTTTTCAAAGATTTATGCTATTTCTCTGGATCCAGTGTGATGTTTTCTTTTAATAAATTTTCTACCAGGTTACTGCTATGCTTGTTTTTATTAAATTCTGTTTTCTGATATAACTGGTTGATTTGATACAATACAATGACTATAGTGATAAAAGAAACGGACAGGATATCAAATCTGTGAGCAAAACTCTACCCTAGTTGGTGAAACTGATATATCAGAGAGGTCCCTGAATTTTTGTGTTCTCTTTGTCAGGCTTGCTGTGCCCTGCAAAACATTTTTAATAGAAATGCAGAGAAATGTGTACTTCAATATTTACCTAATCTTGTGACATTCATTTTGAAGGGTGTTTTTGAATTCCTGAGCTGTACTGTTGTGTAACTGTAAAAGACTTATTTTTTCTTCAGCAAACCATCATCATTCAGACAATATCTTTTAAGGATTTTGTAATGCATTGAATATTTAAAAAAAACTGTTTCATTTCAGAAAACTTCTTTCGGAGTGCAGAGGTTGACTAGATAATGTGTAAAATCAATACATAGTTCTTGGGAAATCAAGGAATGCAAGATGAGGGAGAAATTTGAATTGGGGTGCTGGATTCTGTAGAAATCACTGATTACCAGTGTCACCAGATTGGGGCATTTGCACCAAAGCAGAGGAACTGCAGATGGGAAAAAGAGGAGGGGAAAGGCACCATGACAAGAGCTGGAAGGCAGTTGCAGATGAATGTTTCCCCGAAAGGGTAAGATAAGATAATATATTTTCCAAGTGTTAGAAATCTCTAAAAGGAAAATGTTGTGGTAACTTCTCAGATCAGGCAAGAGGCAACACCAGAGCCCTGTACTGTGTCCTACTGATTCATTGCCAGCAGTCATTCCTGTCTTGTCACTGATGAAGGTTAAGAGTGGGTGTTTTTCAAAGCAAAAACCTTTCTTGGAAAGGGTAATAGAGGGGGAACAGGAAAAGTGTTACTAGTAGAAAAAAATTTAAGTAGTTTTGTGGCTCTTTCCCCCTATTATATTAAAAAAAAAGAATGACTGTGCTTAAATTTTTTTTCTGTGGATTGACCTAGTCAGTTGACTGTGTTAGCTATTGATGTATATTGACCTCATCCTGCTTATATATAGTTATACATATGATACCTAAACCACTAAATGTTCTGCAAAGCAGTGAGAAGAAAAATGTCTACAGGATCTCTGGATGACAGAGATGTAGCGTACAGACTTGTGGTTGACTCTCATCTCCTTTAAGGCTGTACCATAACTGTTTTGCTTTTTGCTATTTTTGATGTATTAGAACAACTCTCAGGGATCCTGCAAACTTTGGTCCTCGGGATTAAAGAAAAATTTACTCTGGCTAAAAGAGGAAGAAAGAATATACAAAGCTAAAAGCAAATCCACACCCCTCTCCTTTTTTTGTTTTCTTAAAGCATTAGTATGACTCATTCTTAATTTTTGTTTCTTCGTTTAGTTTAAAATAATGGGTCTGTTATTTTGGAGGGGTATTATAGTTTATTAACAAGTTGAAGGACCAGCTGAAACAGGGACTTCTGGCAGTGATGATACTATACAGTATGATACATGTTGCTTCCACACATGGTGTGGAAACAGAGCAGCAAGCAAGGATAATGAAAAAATGGTGTAACCTTATCACATGCACATTTATTGACTTCTATAGATGCTTTTAGGATGAGTTTTACACACTTTACTGTTTGCTAAGTATCTTTCTGAAGTATAGGAGTGAGAAAGATGAGACTGAAAAAACCTGTGCAAAATCTGGTAGGCATTTATTTTAGCTTCCTTATGTTGCTTGTTTTCCTTTGTTTGAAAAGCTTAGCTCCTGGTATCTTGTTTATGTGACACTCTGTGCTTACATTTATGGTGATGAAGAGAATTGTGAGAATGAGAACAAGTTAAAGATCTTAAACAGAAGCTTGACTTTATTTTCTTCCAAATATGAAAAAAAGAATTTCTAAACCTAGCTTCATGCTGTTTCAGGTCCAGTTCCTGATCTCTATAGATTTGGTATTGGACTTGTATGTTCAGGAAGAGATTAGTTACCAGGCAATGCAGAGACCTTATAAAATCCAAACCTCAGGCACAGTTATAAATGACAATGAGACATACTCTGTGAATGTGATGTGAACATGATAAATACAGTGCATTATCAAGTGATGTTGGGTGGGGAGTAGATTGAGTAGATAATCTGTAAAAATAGCATAGTTGAGGATCACAGAATCAGAGCTATTAAAAGACCTCCAAGATCATCAAGTCAAACCTCTGAGTACTCCCATGCCCACTAAAAGTTCTAGAGCTACTCATTTTTGGACACTTCCAGCTGTGGTGACTCCACCACTTCTCTGGAGAGCCTGTCCCAGTGCTTGACAACCCTTTCCATTAAGTTTTTTTTATTGTATTGAAGCATCTAGTTGCTTTGTAAATCTCCCATTTCTTGTATTGTATGTAACATACAACATATATTGTATGTTACATATCACTGTTGTTTTTCTTGTGAGTAATCTCCTTGGAGCTGCTGCCCATGAAAAGTCACAGCATCAGTGCTCAGATTGCACTTGGTGATGGAGTAGAGATGCTGCAGGTGCTCCAGCTGCTTTTAGGAGGTGCTGCCTTCTGCCTCTGTTTAGAAGGATGTTGAGTTGCCCTGTGTGAAAGAGAAATGGAAAGACTGTGTTAGGTCATCTATTTTTTTACTTTTTTTTTTTCTTTAAACCATTGTAGTAGGGTGAAATTTACACTTCCTGTTAGTTTGTGATTTGTTCAGAATAAAGGTAACTCATCCTTCTTCTCACAGTCCTTCCACCCACTCAGGCTTTGACAGAGTAGTGGGTTGCTTGGATGTCAAAAATGGGGCTTGGTGATCCTTTTACCTGGTTTGGAAGACAGCACAGATTTGCTAAATACAGCCCTGCTGTTGAAGCAGAGCGTAAGAACAGCTGCTCTGGAATGGGTATCAAATGAATTATTATGGATTTCTGTGTCCATGAAACAAAGCTTGTTTTGGCATGTTTGTAAGTATGTTGTAAATGACATCAAAATGTCTTGAGGAATTAAATGTCTCATGAGGAAAAAACAGAGGGAAGCTTTTCCTTTAAAACATAAACTAAATAAATAATAAAATAAAAAAATCAGCATAGTTAATCCCAATGTGTGGCTTCAGCCCCAAGCAAGGGATTTTCCTACTTTATCCTCCCCTGCCACTGAGAGAACACTGAATTCATTCACACTAGCAACAAATGCAGTGTCCTGGAGGAAAGAGAAGACTGACAGGGAACTGAGTGCAGATGAGTACGCAAATACCTAATTTAAGTTTAGCAGCAACAACAACAAAAAGGAAATCAGTAATTACAGAAATCATAAGGACAAGTTGATTTGTGCTATGAATTATTCATTTCACATACAGAGAATCCATGAAACCCGAAGTGACAGTAGTTCATCAAAATTATAACAGCCTTCAGCATTGGAAGTACCAGCTTTGGGATTTAAACTCTCATGGGCAAGTTAGAACCCATCCTTTCCATAGGTTTTTAGTAACTGAAGAAGTCTGGATTGTGTCCGATATTCTCATGATTGAACAGTAGTGATTACTTTTAGAATGATATGCTTATTTATTATACATTAATTCTAATATTTTATAATTGGTAGCAAAAAAATCTAGCTTTTCTGTAAAGCTGTAAAAACTGTTCTGCTAAGAATAATCAAGCTTTTATATCACTTTTATTTTTGCTTGTATCTCTTATCCCACCTAAGAGATTAGTAAGTAAAAGCATTCATCTCAAAACATAAATGTTGTCTTAAGTTTACTCCATTATTCAAACAATGTTTAGTGTAATCATGTCATTTTCTTACAGTGATCCAGCTGCTAAAGCTCTCTGGGAGTCCTTCATGAACCTCAAACAAAAGGAAGCTGTGATGGAGGCCAGGAGACACCTTGTGGAGGCTGCAAGCAGAGAAAATTTACCTATTAAGATGAGCATGGGTGAGCAATATGTCATAGTCTCCCTTACACAGTGATAATGTGATGAGATGATGTCAGCTTCTCTTTTTCCACATAACCCTCTTGGACAAAACCCACCCATTCTTGGTTCGTCCCCATGCTTGTCAACAGGTTCCAGGTGACCTTCATGACTACCATAGGATCTTTCTGGTATATAAGTGAGAGATAATTTAAAAAAAATAAAAATACAACAACCGTAAAAAGATTGAGAACCATGGAAAAGCCTTGAGTTTTAGAGGGAGGGTTTTAAAGGCATGTAAATGGTTAGCAATGCTACATGTCTTTATTTTCCAGAGCATGAGAATTTTTTTATATAAAAGTTAACAAGATTTGTGTCCTGAAAGCAGACATTGTAAATAGCAACTGGAAGTTGTGCAGAACTTGCATATGATGACATTATGTAGGTAGTATTTACATTAAATAGGTAATGAGGTTTATGTCAGGTAAGGCTGCCTGGTTCTGGGGAGTTGAAGCTGAAATGTCTGGACACACTTTAAACCTAATTTTTTCAAAATATTAGGGAAACATTGAAATCCATTGTGTCTTAATCCAGCTCTTTTAGAACCTCATCCTCATCATATACCATACTCAGTAAAACATGGAAATCGATATATTAGATGTATAAAAACTGGTATTGCCTCTATCCAGTAATATTTTTTGTATTGTGTATACTCTTAGGTCTACTTTTTGCTGAACTTTTCATCAAGAGAGAAAAGTTCTTGTGGGAGTAACAGATTTTTATCTGTGACTCCAGAGTATACTGCCAAGATATTGTAGAATTGTACAACCAACTCATGAATTCTTTACCACTATAACATGTGAGATATTGTATGGTCTTTACAAATAACTAGAGCATGCATTTAATAGAATATTAGTCAGAAATACTAGATTTCTGCAACAGTCATATTGCAAGCTGTTTTAAAGAAATGGAAAAGGAGTAGCTCAGAAAAGGCTATTACAAGTTTGTCTGAAGGAGGGAAGTTTCAGTAAACAATAAAATCTTGTTTAAGTTTTTAATATGTGTGTGAGTATTCACCATAATAATGTTAAGAAGCCCCCATTATTTTTCTGTGACACTGTAAAAGCAATTATTATTAATGTTGAAATTCATCTTAGTTATAAAAGTAATTGCTTCTTGTCTTTAAGAGGTAATGATCCATCTGTGACCTTTGCTCCTTTTTGTGAATGATTAGGTTAGCCACCCTTTCCTCTGTGTCCCCTTCCTGTGGTATCCAGTGAAGGCTGCAGTAACTTAGTTCTTAATCACAGTAGCTGACACTTACTGAATGTCTGACATCCATGGGCCTGATGCAGTGCTGTATGGAAACATGAGTTGATGGTGAAATAAATTTCTGGTTTTGTTGTTGTTGTTGTTGAAATGTAGCATAAAGTAATATTCACAGAATTTTGTTCTTCTGTGAATCATGTATTTATCTTGCACTAGAATCATGATCAGTTGTTAACTTTGTAGTTGAAATTCAAAGGGTGAAGTAAAGTTTGAAGCAGTCTTGTAAATGATAAACAGGGATAAAATAAGAAACAAGGAGAGGGGGACACTACAGTCACCAAAATAAAACATTTCTTATTGAACAGAAATGCAGAAAACCTGAAACACACACCCAGATGTGATGTTGTGCAATGACACGTATTTGTTAATGACGTCTTAAAATGGACTGCATTCACTGCTTGTTCACCGTGCTGCAGAACATCTTACTTCTCTGTAGGGAGGCTGCAAATTGTGCTGTTTATCAATTGCTACATTTGCTGGGAAGCAACAAATTGTAGTGGCCTGTTCTGGTCCTGATTGCTGTGTTTTTTTGAAAAGCTCCTTCCACTGCAGCTGTGATATGAAGCAACTCTGGCTGGAGAGAAGGGAAATGTTTTCCCTGGGCTCTGTGCTTAGACTGGAGTTTTTATGACTTTACCTCAGGTTCTGCCTGTTCTGGAAGATCTCGGTGGATTGCACATTGTTTTTCTCAACACACAGGGTATTTTCTCAGTTTTTTATGGCCCTGATATTAAATGTCAGAGATTTTCTAGCATGAAAGTTTCCTCTTACTCTCTTTACTAAGACCAGCTGTGTCAGATGGTAAGAGTATTTTCCTTACTACTTATTTTTTTTTTTTTTTCTCCCTGGAAATAAGGAGTGAATTACATTTGAAAGCAAAGCTTTAAATTCCATTTGGTGTGGCTGAGCCCTCCTGCAGTGGCCACCTGCCTGAAAAACTGCATCACTTGTGACACTGGCAGCATGGGAGCCCTGTGCAGTGATGGGAAATTCAATCCCATCCTGTTTCTGTATTTTCAGTGAAAGGAAAATAAATTCTTATGTTTTCTGGGCTTTGAAAGGCTGCTTATTGCTCTGAGGTGTTCGTGTGCTTGCCCACGTTTCCCCTGCAAGGGATGTGCCTGATTCCCAGCTTTCCTCTTTCTCTGCCTGGCTGCGTGTGGCAGGAGCAATGACAGTTCTGGGAGGACACACAGCTCAAGTTTTTTTGCTTTCTGATATCTTCTGAAGGTGTCCTCCTCCTGAGAAGGAAGAAGACTAGGAAAACTGTAGAAGGGGACACATGTCTTCTTTCCAGCACCTCCAAATGTCTGCAGGGCACTGGGAAAACTCCATCTTTTTCCATTGAGATAAGCAGGAAGAGAGGAGATCTGATTAGGGAGAAAAAAAGAGAAATAAAGGATACAACAATTGTGGTTACATTTTTTGAGCTGGGTAGATTTGAGCTCTGCTTTCAGATGCTCTTGATTTGCATGTTCATTGTTTTAGTTGTATTAAGGGAAGTGGTAGTGGGGATGTGTGACGTATTTGTTTGCATGTGAATAGGTGAAGCTGTCCTTTTCTAGATGTCATTTAAATAAAGAGGCATTAAGATATTGCATGTCAATCTATATACATAGACGCACACTTCAAAAAACTCAGAAGCCAACAAATAGCACTTTTTAAGAAATACATCAGCTCCATTTTTCCTCTGAGGTATTTGCATTCATATGTTATGTACCCAGATGAGTGCTGGTAAATACTTGCCAAATTTTGGTCAGATATCCTATTGTGCAGGTGTAAATACATAGGTGTAAATTATTTTGGTATAATAAAAATCTTGTCATTTAAAATATATTTTATTTCAAGAATTAAATATCCTTTTGAAAAGGTCTTTGGAAGACAAGATTGTCTTAATAGCTTTTGGGTAAGATTTATAGTATTGTGCTAAATTTAAGTGAAATTGTAAATACTGGAAAGGGATTACTTCTACCCACCCCTTAGTAAGTGCCTGTAACGAAGCTGCTCTGGAGCAGCAGAGAGATTGCTGCTTTTTCCATTCCTAAACTTCCTGCTCCATTCTTCATAGGTCTGATGCATATCTTAATCACCCTCAGAGCATGGCTGCCCCTGACTCTCTCCTTGAAAGCTTTACTATTAGCATAGTGTTTGGCAGTGGTAAAAACTTTGCTACAAATGTTCTTTTGTAGCTTTAGCAACACACTCACTCTTCTGTTTGAAAAGAGCACACTAAACCTTGACTGAGTCTGAATTCCTTTATTGTGTCTTTTTACTGGCATGGAGACTGATGAAAGTTGAAACACTGGTATGGTAACAGAAACAACGTGCAGTGTGCTGTTACACAAGCCCTTGTTAGTGGGAGAAAAGCCATTTGGTTTCTTTCCATTTGAATTGTACAAATACAGTTTTAAAAATCAAGCTCACTATAAAATTAGCAAAGCCTTAGTCTTTGTGAATTAAAAAAAAAAAAGAGTGCTTTAACTTTTTCAAAATCAGGGGCTTTTATATGGGTTGAATTGAACTCTTATTTGTTTGAGTAGAAATAGGAAGAGGCTGACAGTCTAGTGTGACAATACAAAATAATATTTTGAGTTTAGAGCAGTAGTTTAGAATGGACAGGATCAATACAGTAAATCAATACTTTATCTAAAAACATAAAGCATATAAAATGTGCATTATTTTCTTTTTAATGAAGAGTTGCATTGGACTGCAACAGTATTTAACATACTATTTGTTCTTTGTGAGACCAATATAAAAATACTTAATACCATAATAAATTTTTGGAATAAATTTTAAGGATAAGACCTATCAGCCAAGATAATGAGCTAATAAGGTAGGTAAGTACACACGCACACACGTGTATATATATATATATATCTTTCTAGATAAAATGAGTCTGATCTTGGTTGTCTAAAATTCACCCTGGCCAACCATTAGGACAGTTTTGTGTTGGAGACAAGTAGTGAGACAACACCAGTCTGAGTTTGAGGTCCTTACAAGGGAGTAGATGGAAAGTCATCATTGCTGAGCTCAGTGTGGTCTGTGGGGTATTTGAATCATTCTGCAGCATGTCTCCGAGTAAGTAGGTACCTGGAAAACAGCTGGGCTTGGAGACACTATGGCCCCTCGTTTTGCAGAGAAGACATCATATTGTAGATTGGTTCTTGGCATTCTTATTATGTTTCTCTGATGCCTGTTTACCTGGTCTCCAAATCCTTTGGGAGAGCAAGCAGCAGGATCAGTAAGGCAGCAGCTCATGAAGTGAGAGGCTTCCTGTACCAACTCAACTGACACAGGCCTGGCTTAGCCTGAGGTGTCCCAAATGTCTAATAGCTGGTCTCACAGTGCTTCTTCAAGGGCTCCCTGATCTTCTCAGGGCATTTTTCCAAAGAGAGGGAATGCTGTTTTTCTCAGACCTGAATTCCTCCCATTGTTCAGCCTGGATCCTGAACAGGCAATTTTTAAGTTAAATTAGTCTGCTCTTTGTCTCTTTAAAAGTAGCAAGAGTCCTGCAGTGTGGGACTTTCTAGCCAAGTGGATTTTTTTCCAGCCTATTGCAATAGTGAGTTCCTGATTTCTCCCTGTAGTGCAGCTAAAAACGTAGTCTTGACCTGAAGCAAATGTTCCCAACCTCAGTGATGGTCAATATAGCAGATGTTTCATTGCATCATTCACCCCTGGAGGCAGGAAGGCT